TTTTCGCCCCAGTTCTGACAGCAATTTAGGACAATTTATTAACTTGTCTGGGGCTCATCTGTAATCTTCCTACTTCCCGGTACATAAAGGCAGGACTAAACAATGGTGTCCAAACCTGGCTCTTGAAATCCTTTTGGGACCATTAGAGAATGGAGGTTTCTCAGCCCCATCTATAGATTCAGATTCAGATTCAATAGGTCACAGCATTTAACCCCCAGCTAAAGGTCAGTTATTATTGACTGGAAATAATAATTCGGGTCCTCAATTATGCTGCTAGCTTCAAAGCCCACACTCTAATTACAAATATGAAAAATTAGAAAGCTGTTACTGTATTGCCAACTCCAGTATGCCCAGAGAAAAAGCTGTGACCATTTTTCTCACTGGCATTCAAGACAGTAAGTAATCTGAATTGTAAGAGTATATACGTTTTCCCCCAAGAAATTCAACAAACGTCTTTTCAATTCAAATGCAGACTCTAAACGGTTTTATTATTCCAGACTTGACTCATGCAAAACAGTTAGATTATCACCAATTTACACATTCTGATGTGGAGAAAGAAGATGAAAGAGGAGTCCAGGACCTCTTTACAAAAAAGTTAATTTCCATATTTGATTGCACTCTAAATCAACTAACTGAAGCACATGGTAGTCTCTATTTTAACTGGCACTGGTTCTTCTGGTTAAAGACCTAGCTTTATTCAAGGGGATATCCATATCATAACATTGTGTTATTGCTTAGGAAAGACAGCAAGAGCTAAAAGAAGGTCACCGAGTTTTCAGACACACAAGTAAAGACTTTCTTCTCTGATTCTATCTCTTCAAAATAACTACCTAGCTACAGAAAAATACTCGGATGTTAATTTCTCAAAATGCATACCCACATATTTAAATATTTACCTAAAACGATGGGCAAGTCATAAAGCAACTGAAACAGAAAATCTGGCAGGCTCTGCCCTTCCTTTTGGGGTTATGAGTACCAAGTGGTCCGATTCATCTCCACAGAGCCGCCAGTGCCTAGCCCAGGGCTTTGCACCTACCCGGCACCCAAGAAAGGAGACTTGTTGAAGAGAATAGAAGACTCTGCTCCATTGATGACAATCACTTTAGGTTACCCTTGCCCCTCTGTGCCAATGACTATACTTGTGTTCTGAATGAAACAATCATGCTACAATGTGGTATATCACCTAATTTCAACAGTTTAACCACTAAATTCATTTGAAACAAGGCTTAGCCAGGAAATCATCACAACAGAGATAAAAAGACGGCAGGAAATAACAGATTAGTGACTGACTGACGTTATGACCATTCTGCCTAGATTTTCTTAAAGTAGCAGGATTAGGGAAGGAAATCTTAGATATGAAATAAATAACAATCTTGAGTAACATTTTAGTCTAAACAGAAATTCTGCTGTAATTCTCTTCCAACTTACTGTTCATTTTTTTTCTTTTTTAAATGATTCTTAAAGAACTTCCTTACTTCACCTCCTTCTTTACTTCCTCTGTCTATATCACCACCCCGTCCTCACTGCCCCCCAGATCCATCCATCTTTTATAAACAAGCTCAAGTCCCACCTCCACTTTGACCTTTTTCTAGACTAATACAGTCCCCAAGAACCTCCCTCTCCTCTGACTTTACCGTCATGAACTTACTGGTAAGTGATCATGTCCTGCCTTTCTCAAGGCACTTGTGCTATTCAGAATATTGTGTAAATGCTGTGTACTAGATCTCTAGTTGACTGTCGGGGGCTGCAAACTGGGGCACCTCTTCTTTATATCACTTAAAGCAGTAGCTTTCAGACTTTTTGAAACATGACACATAATAAGATATACATATTATAATAGGCCAGTGTGCATACACATATAAATATATATTTAAAAGTTCCAAGAACAGTACTTATTTACCCTTCTATTCTATTTTGTTCTATTTTATTTTTAAAATACAAAAGTGCTATCAGGCCCAGGAAATGGACCTCACAACGGGTGGTGACCAGGTCTGGACGGTCACGTGTTGATTACTCTGGGATTGCTGTATGCATTTCTCTCCCTTAAAAAATAATTTTATAATTATCTGTGGTCTTTGGGCTCTGACTTTTTCTGAGTTACTTTCTTCGCTTTTTGGAATCATCTGGGATAATTCAGTGCTTCGAATAGACAGAATTTCCATGCTTTTGCCCTGAGCACTGCTGTCATAAAAATAAGATTTGCAACAAGTCAAAAGACTCAAATCTCCATTCCCTCGTTCTCTTTTATTTTCACAATATGCAGAGTAGGTGGTAGAGATTTTGTGGATGAAGAAATTGAGGGCCAGAGAATTATGACTTTCTCAAGGACACACCTCCCTTTTCATCAGGTGTTTGTAATTTAAGGTAAACATGGTTTTGGAAATATCTGAAAAATACAAACTTGGGTAATGTAAACAACATGGAGCCTCAGCATGAATGTATTTACCTAACGTATCTGGATCAAATGGTTTATGGACCAGATGTGCTAGCAGCTCTTCTGGACTTCAGTTTGAGGATGGATCGACTTCCTTTTTGGTCCCCACCTTTCCATCTTTATCTCCTCACAGGTTTTCAACCACCTGGAGCTACTTGTTCTTCCTGAGCCTCTGTATATTTTGGTCCCTATACCAGGAATGCCCTTCTCTCTCCTCTTGACCAGACTCGTTCCTCACCAGTTCCCAGGGACCTGCCCTGTCCTCTCCTCTCCTCCCCCACAACCTGGCTTCCCTGGATCCCTGTGCACTCCCCATCAGAGCACTTAACCTGCTCTTCCTCCCTCCCTCCCAAGTTTTTCAGGCTATGACTCTCCCATTCCACAGTCTAGGACCATGTAGGGTTTAGGATAAAAATATGTTGATGGCATAAAGGAATCAATAAGCGAGTGCATAAAGGGCAGAAACAGCTGCCCCTGAAAAAGTGTGTGTGATGTGGAACTAGAATTGTGTGTCCTGACTCTCTGTAGCCAAGCTTTCATGATGTTGTGATTCTGTGACCAATATTTTAGTGCTTCCCCAAAGGCTGCAGATTTTGTGACTGGAAATTCATGGCGAAGGATAGCTGCATCTAATACATTCTTTTCCATTTACTTGAGGCACAAGCAAGGATATGTTGCAGGGACAAATAATAAAGTGTATTAGGCAAGCATACTGATGCAATTAAAAAACACCTAGGTTTTAAAACTGCTTGTTGGAACCCAACCTGACCTCCAGATGAAACGGTTCTGATTCACATCATGCCTCAGTCCTCTGTTTCCCATATGAAGCTATGCACTTGCCATTTTGACCTCATCATTTCAGAGATGACCAGTTAGTGATTAGGTGAAGCCTCACCATACCAAAGCACACTCTACAAGGATCTCCAAGAGTTCCTCTGCACTGTTTCCAAAGTAAATTCCACTGATAGAACATCTAGACTTGCAATGGCCATTATCATTTTTTTCCTGTTTATGAATCAACAACCTATTCCGCCCCCCCATTAATGCACAAAAAAATCTTGAATGATCTTCTCCATGATTCTATTTCAAAAGACTATTCTCTCATACAAACTCTTGCCATTTGCAGATAGCAACAGAGAAGATTTCCTTCTTTCTGCTGTGACTCATGGATCTTAATTCCCACAGTTGTTACAGAGGGCAGGCCAATGGCGAACACAACGGAAAAGAAAGAATAGTTTATAACTGGAAAATAAGCACATTCGGGAGAAGTACACTCAAAGCATTATCGAAGTAAAATATGCAGCAGCACCAACAAGAGCAAACAAAAGCCCACGCAAGAGACGTGTAAATATTTCATGAAACTGAAGCCTTAATCAACTCTCACTCCGAATCTTGCTGGTGTTGTAAACACTTCAGTTTTTTCCAGTCCCACCATGACCCAGATTTTTTTGCAAAAACAAAATGAAAACATGGACCAATGGATCTTTAACAAACGTGCTGTGAAAAATCTTTAGATGGAGCATATCCAAGGTACTGCTTTAACAGGAAGAAGAGGACACCGTAATAAAAGGTGGTTGCTGCTTGGGGACCTTCAGAGCTCCGCTTCTCCCTTCCCCCTCCAAACCGTGGCCTTTTCCCCACTGCCTATGCTGCTCTCTGGACATTCACATCATCTTAACCTTGAACTACCTACGTCCTAAGCGGAGATTTCTCCCAATACCCCCTCCAAAAAGCCCTTTAAACCTGACAGGGCTTTGCTGCCTTCCCACCAGGCAAAATTCACTTTCTGGTGTTGAAAGTACCTCTCTTCACCTTTTTTCACTGTCCATTGTTGCGTCTGAAATTTTGCCTGTATCTTGTAGGTCTGTCTGGATAGCATGAAGACCTGTGATGTGTATTGGTTGACAGTGTTCTTCAGTGATTTCTTTTCTAAAATCCATCTCCAAAGAACCGTTTATAGCCTCTAGTCTCTACCTGATATAATGTGGTTCCAAAGTTCACCTCTAGATACTAAACAGGTATTCCCTTTATCAACCTCTGCCTGCCCTTCTCTCTCCGCCCATCTCCTGGAAAAAAAAACTGTATATATGTAAACATGTGTATACACACATGCACACAAACGCATGTATATTATATATTCTGATGGTGTTTTGACCTTAAAGGGAATGAGTGTAGGAAAATGAGAAAAATGCCGGTGTAGTATTGCCAACACGCACACACACACACACCCTATTTGGATATTCATAGTGTGCAGACCCGACTGATTATAAATCCCCCCGCCCAAGAACAGCAGGCGTCTTCTCCCGTTTACCTGCCAAGCCAGAGCCTAAGGGAGCAATGACCTTGTCGAGAAATTCATCACCTGTGAGAAAGACAGTCCCTCCTGGAGCGCAGGCTGGGTTGGGGGCAAGAGCAACAGGCAAAAAGGGTCACCCGGCAAAATATGGGACCGAATCCATCCCCCATCAGTACCGAGCACACCGCAAAGCCCGGCTCCCCCAGAGGTGGGACGCCGCGCAGCGGTGGCGCGGGGGGGCGTCTCCTGCCGCGGCCGCCGGTCGCCTACCTGCTGTTGCCCGGCTCTCCCCGGCGCGGCGCGGCCACTGCCTGCGCTGTGGCGGGGGCTTCCCGTCGCATATCCCGAGCAGCGGCTCTCGGCGCCACACCGATGGCTCAGCGGGCTCGTAGCGGCGGTCCTTTTCAGACCTGTTCCGGGAGCGAGCCGGGTGCCAGCAGGAACTGAAATT